ACAAACAGCAGGTTTTAAGCTACACTCTGAGAATTTTTTTATTTCTTACAAAAATACTGATGGTTTTAGAGCAGTGGTTCAAAGCTGAGGGTGAAAACATATGACTTGTTCACTACCACTGGAGCTTTAAGGTCTCATCTCTCTGATATGTTGTTTTTACAGGAATTGAAGAGAAAATATGATCATCAGCCCCCAAACAACCACAGCATCAGGCACAGCGACAGAATCATCATGATCCACTTTGCATGTTTAGCACTGTGCACTAGGGCTGCCACAAAAGATTCTTTTGATAGTCGACTAATCAGATCATGCATCCATTGGACGTAAAACGTACAGCTTATTGCACCAGCAGCATCTGCTCCTATCATTAGCTTACAGCTTGAAGTGTTTAAGGTATGTGCTAACTTAAAATAAAGACAAGATGATAGTTTTTTAAACTTTTAATGAAATTTGCAGATTGTTTCGGTGAGTTTAATAAACTCAGCCGTCTGCTCCTTGCTACCTAAAATATAACAGGACAGCGGAGTAAATTCTCGACCAGCTCACACAGTTTTCTGTTTGACATTTATTCAGCTGTGTAAAAAATATAGCTTTAATCTCAGCCAAACCGATTTACTCAGAAACAAATAAAATACTAAAAAAAGCCAAACAATAACAGTTTTAAGTTATCTAAGTGACTTATATATATATTTAACCTGAGTAGTGAAAGACGGCGGTGGGTTTGAAAATGATTGGTCAGGAGTCCGGTGTTCTCACCGGCTCTAGTGAGCCTTTCCCCCGGCTAGCTATCGAGCTAGTGGGTAACAGACGTCTCCGAAAACGTCGGAGCGCTTTTGAAAATATGTGGTGTCCTGATAAACTGAGCAGATATTTGAGGTTTACACAGCTACATTCATAAAGATGAGAATGAGATAACAGAAGTCACATACATACTTCTTTTTTCTTTTTCCTACTTCTTACCTTCCATACGACTCAATGACTTTTGATGTGAAAGGTAAGCACGTGAAGTAATCACATTTTACTTGCAGTCATTCATTTCTTAGTCGGGTGTTTATTATTGTTGCTCCCACATCTATTCATTGGTAGCCAACTTGTTCTGATTAAACATGCAACTCCAGACAGCAATTCATCTTCAGCAGAGCATGTGTGCCAAATTTCAGTTAGCAACAAGTGTCCATCAAATAAAAGTCAAACAATCAGTAGAACCAGCATAATTTATAATCATTTATAATCATGCTCCACCTATACTCCAGATACCCACGGTGTGCCTCAAGGTTCTGTGCTCGGACCCCTACTCTTCACCATCCACATGCTCCACCTTGGTGATGCTCACTATTGTCTCTGCTATCAGTCCTTTGCTGAGACCATGCAGTACAAAACACTCTACACAGCTAACCACACAATCCTGAGTGAAATCAAACATGGATGTCATCTAACCTACTCAAGCTCAACAATAAGAGCTCTTGGTTGTGGCGCCCAAAGCTGTGCTCTAGAAGATCTGAGATCTGCTCATTAACGTAGACGATTGCCCCATCTCACCATCTTGAGAAGTTTACAGTTATACAAGTTGTTCTGGACTCCACACTTTCATTCCAGGTTCATATCATATCTGTCACCAAAGCAGCTTTTTTTTTCCTGTTAATGAATGTCTCTTGACTTTGTCCATCACTCACCGGGTCATGTTAAGGATTTCCTGCAAAGCCCCGGAGAGGCTCCAGTATGACCAGACCTCAGCTTACCTTCAAATCCCTCAATGCCCTGGCCCCTCAGTACCTGTCTAACCTGCCGCACCCATACACACAGTCCTGGACACTATGATCCTCGGCCTTGGGTCTGTTGTCTGTCCCTCACATCAGCCCCCAGACCTCCAAGCCTTCAATGTGCTTTTTGTTCATTTATATACTTTTGTAAAGTATCCCTGGGTTTCTTGAAAGGCACTATACAAATCTAAGTTATTATTATTAGTGTTAGTACTAGAATCTTCCCACGTGGGCCAAGTAGGTGAGCAAACACATGCTTTCATCTGCAGAGCTCTGCCATTAATAATCAGCCTGTCTTCTTCATCACCGTGTCATTTAAGATAAATGAAACAGAAAGTTAGCTAAAATAATAACTCACCACATGTTCTCTCTGTTTGCATGCTGATTAAAACAAATGATCTTAAACTCGTTTTTATACAACACTCAGAGTTTTCATCATCTTTATTTACTGTAGGCACTGTAAGCCACAGCAATAAGTCCCATTCTAACAATATGCCCACAGAGAAAGAGAAAAAATTCCCACTGACTTTGTTTTTAAATGATGGCAAGTTTACCAAGTCATCCCGTAATCCATCATTTAATATGTTAAAGTCATGTGACTTGTGCATGACCTATTATCATCCCACATTTACAATATTACCCAAACGTCTGCACGCAATTAATCATAAGGGAGACATATTTCATAACACAAACAAAACAGACAGTGTCAGCTTTTTCTAATGACATGATGAATGTGGTTTAATTCTGACTAAATATTTCATATATGTATTATCCTTCTATCAAAGCTACATGATGTCATGAACATTCATTTTTATATGGGTTAATCAGTCGAATAATTATTGCCTGTATGACATTTGAGATTTCAATTTAAAATGTTCTTTTAAATTATATATTGTTATAATTACATAAAATGTGTTCTAAACCCCAAACTGTTCCTGGTATACCTGACCTTTAGGACCCCCGGGCCTGTAGTTTTCTTCATTATCAGTTAGAGCCACTCCTCATCCTTTTCTTCTTCTTTTTTGGTGCAGCCCTATAAAATTGGGGTGCTACTGTGGCCTCTCCCCTTTGATATCGACTGGGAAAAGTCGATATCATTTCCTTTCCAACACTAATTATATCTTTATCCACCCTGATGTTTCTGATTGTGTGTTTTAGTTCATTATTGTCATTATTACGCCTGTCTTTACTAGATGCTGTGAATATGTGGTACATGTTTGCCACATATGTGTATAGGCACTGCTAATGCTAGCATGAACTCATAATTCTTGCTAGCTTGGAAGTTGTAGTGGGTTGAGTTAACCCCCGTCCCACCTATTGATTTTTGGCTATAGGAGCTGGAGTGGGCAAGTTATTTATGTCTTTCTTTTTACCTTTCATTGTCAGACAAAATGCACAAACACACCAGTTACACAAATACAACAACAAAAAGTAGTTGTCAAAATTGAAAAAAAGAAAAAAAAATGCGAGTTAAACACAAAAGAATTACAGCTCCACAACAAGCTGAACATAATCAACACATTACACACTCTTAGCATTCTTAACTTATTCTTACCACATCCTGTAATATTAGCAGAGTTGTATTAATAGCAGCCTGACAAACAACAAAATATAAACTTTTCTGTTAGCTCTGGTTTTGGTCGCCACCAGACGTAGAATGGAGTTTTATCTGTTTGCAGTGAGACTGAACCAAATCACACACACAAAAACAGCCCCTTGTATCAAAACAAAGAGCTGAAGGAGGCTAGAATATTACATTAAACCCATCTGACTGCTAAATTGGTCATAATAATGTGTTAGATTAATGCTATGCTCTTAGACTCTGTACTGTCTAAAGTACTGCTGCTTATTTTGTACCTTATAGATAGCGAGCTTAAATTTCTGGTGTCCATGTAATTTTGCACCTTAATGTACAGGTGCATTAATGGCCTGTTAAAAAGAGATGCTAGATAGACTTACACTTGATACACTTGATATTTTATGTATTACAGCTGCATCTGACCCAGCTGAGGTCTACCAGTTAGCCTGCACTGTTTTTTCAAAGGTTTCCATTAATGGTCAAATACTTTGTTTAGTTATTGTGAAAAAGCTGTAAAATTTTAAAACAGTACATTGTGGTGCAATGTGAAACCAGAGCACAGGGTATAAAAATGGAAGAAAATTGGTACTTTTAACTTAAATAAACTTTAAAACTTTACATTTTACACCTATATGATCTCTCTTGGCCCTCAAAAATGACCACAGAGAGATCCCGAGGTCTAGCATCTGTGTAGCTACACCTGTATACATAGAAACTGACTTTTCCTGGAGTCACAGTTTCACTGTTTCAAGAATTATATGAGTTACGCCTTTCACACTGAAAACATACATATACATAAACAACATAGTGTCTACTGTGCACTGACTCAGCCGTACATCTGCTCCTAAAGGTCAAAGGTCACTCTTTTGAGTATTCCAGTGTTCACGTTTCGGACAGTGAGGACAGATAGTTTCAGAGAGACGTGAAGGAGGCCATCTTTGTCTACTCTACCTAAACAACAGTCTGCCACCTACAATCCAGTCTTGAGTTCCCTTCTCAGGCGTTTCGACCCGCGCTCACACCTCGCCTCAGGTGACCTCAGTAGGTCACATGTTAGGACGCCGCAAGGTCTCACGGTTGTTTCAATGGTTGGCCCTGGTGACGGTGAGAACCTATGCCTTTTTTCACACTTGGGCACATGAGATGACTCACATGATCATTAGTGACTCAACCACCCATAGACCCAGGACAAATGGGGATGTTTGTGAAACTTGTATTTGTAGAAGGACTAGACCTGCATCACAGTTTCAGTTGTACTACGGCTGCATAAACTACGATAAACTGAGATTGTTTACAAAACTGTGTCTGCTGATCTTTTTCCTCTTTCAGTGTGAGAAGGGGGATCACAGAGTTTACACAGAGTGTTGTGCTTCTGCAGAATTGTGACAAACAGAAGGGACTCGCAGCCTTTTCCTGGACACCCAGACATACATGTCCCAACTGTGTGGTTCATTTCTGGGACTGCTGACCGTAGCAAGCATGGTGTCTAACCTCAGTCGGGCCCCTGAACCCACCGTCCCATGACTGCCTTCTGCTGCACATGTGAACGCAACAAAATGAAACCAACGTGCACACTCACACATACCTCTCTGTGTGTGTGTTTTTCAAAATTAATTGCAGAAGTTCACAACAATCACATGATTAGATGTATGTATAAATATTAGAGTGCAGATGCATGAAAACAGTTACAACAGCTGGAATACATCAGTCTGTGTTCAACAACAGAGCAAGCAGCCGCGTCAGCAAGAAACAAGATGAAACTCTGCGTACTGATTGTGTTTGGGACCCTGCTCGTCCTCAGCCACGGTAAGAACTGGGTCACTACACAGTAAGAAGTTTCTGTGTGACTAAACATTTCTGTTCTCTGGAAAGCGTAACGTGACCTTAATGTTTAGAAATTAAATTTGCTGGTGGAAACAGAAATAGGGAGAATATTTTTCCACATCTCTGCACGAAAATGGGAATTCATTTGCAAATATTGCATGACAAGAACAAAAAACAAACAAAAAAAGATTCATTGCTTACTAGAAATGTTCAAATCCACAAATACTTTTCTATAGTCATTTAAAATAAAATGCTAATTTAATGGATTTCACAGGTAGGATAGTTAAAAAGATTTAAAGTGCACAAAAATGTGTACATTTCCCTCTATTTGAAAGAGTGTTTTGGAATTATTATCATTTTTTATTGACTTAAAGAAAAGAATACAAATGGATTAAAACTTTAACTAATGGAAAACCTTACTGAGCGTTTTACGGGCCCTTTTTTGTCCATGTGACTTTTCTAAGTGGTGTCACATTTCAGCGTGATCGTGACCAGACTGTTTCACCATCTATTACGGTACGTCTTTCAGTTCTTCAGTAAGAATGGAGAACGTCTTTGTGCGAGTATTTTACAAATAGGAAGATGACTGGAAGAGCAAAAAAAAGGGAAGAGCTTTTCTTAAGAATGTCAAAACACCAACTTGGGAGGAGATGATGAAACGTGCTGTTGGAAAGCTTTCCAGTCACTGAGTTGTAGTTGTGCGTGTGTGTGTGTGTGTGTGTTACACTGACTGCCAAGCGAACTTTGGCACAGGCTGGCTTTGCTTCTTCCCAGCATGACTTCCTCCCCCGAGTTTCAATGAAACATCATTATGTAAAGCGCACAACTCATCTTGTTTAGAGCTGCTTTGGATTTTCTTTGACACTGGAGAATAATACAAGCTCTAAAACGAACATCACCCTGAAAACATTCACATGACCTTTGAAGTAAACGCAAGCTTGATTGATGTCTTCAAGTTTATATTCAAGTTCACGGGAGGTGAGAAAGGAAAGATAAAGCTGTTTGCTGTCAAATGTGTGCTGACGACAGGGATGCCGCCAATCAGCCGTGACTACAACACCCACTGCCGGTGCCTGCAGGTGGAGTCAAGGATCATCCCTCCAGACACCCTGAGGAGCATCAAGCTGTTCCCTGAGGGGCCTCACTGCCCGGACACAGAAGTCATGTAAGTCAGCCTGTCACAATCACCCTTTAAATAAAGGCTTATTATAAAAATAGGATTAGGTGTCTCACATAATCCAATTTAGATTTAGATGCTTTTAAAAAAGGAAATAATTTATAAAAAAGTATTTTTTGGAACATTTGGTCCCCAGTATTTTAAACAATCTTGATTAAGTCTTGTATAAACACTGTAAACTGTATATAATCCATGGATTGATTTAAATAAATACAAATAAATACAAAAGGAAACTTATTTGAGCTCGATCTGGCAAATCTCTTACATTTTTGCTTAAAAGTTTAAAAAGATTTGTGCCAATTAAGATTTCTGTAAATTATAAATTATGTGCATTTTGATCTTCTGTCACTTTTAATCTCTTTCCCCAATTTAAGGGACATTATTTACATTTTTTCATGTTGCATCACTTTTTTAATCCAACTCGATCTTCCAGCCAAACTGGGAGTATCATCGCTCTTAAACACAATTCCAAATGTAACCTTAAAAATAAACACCATAGCATATTGTTTTTTAAGCCAAATTACTCAATTAATTAAATAATTAACTAGAAACTTATTTCATGGAAAACACTGAAGGCCTTTTTTTAAAAGCTGGCAGCAGTATTATTTGTTGAAACATGTTTAATGATGCTCAGAGCATTGATAACATCGTTAATCAAACTGCCTGACGGGTACTTAGCTGGAATTAAACTCTTACACGGATCAGATTTTCTCTCCGTGAAGTTCCAGTAAGCCCTCTTGGAACTGTTTCCCAACACTTTTTGCATTTTTGTATAACTTCACAGTGAGTTCACATGAAAACACTGAGGTTTGTCCACATCACAGTTTTGCAAATATCTGCGGAGATCAGCTCCACACAGAGTTTGTGTTTTCAGTCAACAGGTTCACTCTCATTTCTCTGATTGCACCATGTTGTCTTTAATCACCTGAGTGTTCAGTCTCAGTGACGATTTTATCGATAGCTGGTTTGATTACTGTAATCTGTGAACTGCACATGGATTTTCACTTGAAATTGTTATAATTCCCTCGACGTTTAATATGCTCTTTTTGGTTCTTTTAGTTCCTGGTAACTGTCTTGTGATTGCAGTTTGACGATTTTGTGGGGAAAATAATTTAAATAAAGTGAATCAGATGCTGGCTGGCAGATCCAAAGCATCACAGAGAGGTTTGCACTGAGCACTACTTACCTTCAAGCACTGACTGACTGTAATTCTCTTTAATCAGAGCTGGACTGGCAAACGGAGCAAAGGTTTGTCTGAACCCTCATTCTGCCTGGGTGAAGAAGCTGATCAACTTCTTTCTGGAGAAGCAGCAGATGGGAATGACCTCCAAGAAACGGGCATAAATCCTGCAGTTGTCTGCAGCTACCTGACCACTGAGCCATGACTGAAGCCAATATTTAACCCACTTTTTCTTTTTTTTTTTGCTACTTTATTTTATTTCTACTGATTGTTTATTTCTGAATATTTTACACCAATATATGGAACAACACTGATTTTAGAAAAAGAAAAGCTTCCTGTTTTCAGGGTGTTAAAGGAAAAAAACCCACCAGTCAAGCGATTGTATGAGCAGATCTTGCATGTAGCATTAAATATGTAGCACTGTAATACGTAACACTTCCTTTTTTCTACTTCCTTTGGTGAATCTTCTTGATCAGCAGCAACAAATGATTTAATGCTAAAGAAACACTCAGATCAATGCAGTTATTGCATAATGAAAATTAAGTTGCTGCAAAGAAAATAAAAATGTTTGAAAACTAAAATGTGTTTATTGTTTATTCCAGCAGCCAACTCATGTTTGGCCACATAAAACATCAATATTTTTAATATGTTTATTATGGTATTTTTTTAACATGTCAGCATATTATCACTGAAAAACTTGTGACATTCTTGATGCAATGACGCTTCAACTTTCCACATCAGCTCTTTTTTATGAATGCATCACTGTTTTAGCCGTTTGGCACTCTTAATATCAGATTTCAGAAAACTGCACTTTCAGGAGAAACATCTGAACAGCATTTAAGCATTAAAACTCTAAACATGCATTATTATGTACAGTATATCTGACCCATCGGGGTCATTAGCACCAAATAAAGTTTAGTTAAAGGATTGTGTTGATCCACAAGAAGAGCAATGCACCAAAACCCACACACATTAACATTTACATAATATAAAAGCAAAACTTCAGATGAACTGAAGCATTCCCACAGCGTAACACTTCCACCATCGTGCTTCACTGTGCAGACAGTGCAGACAGCCTCTCACTTCTTCCAAACATAAGCAGTGTGGCCAGAGAGTCCCAGCTTTTACTCATCTGACCAAAGGACGCCTAATCTTTCTCCACGTTGTCCTTAGCACACTCCAGCCTGGCTTAAAAGCATCTCCTCTGTAAGCTCTCACTGCATTCCTGTGCAGTGATTGTCTTCTTTGAGGCTACACTTTGTAGCTTTGAAATCTTTCGCTTCCTGCATCTATTATTTAGGCAGACAGAGGAGATACCCCTAATATAATGCTGTGAGCACATTAGCCTCAGACCAGCTGTTAAAACCTGTCTGTTTGTTTGTTTGCTTGCAAGGGGAAGCCAATCAAAGAAAGTCTGTTTTATAAGAATAGATTAACTGAGAGTCTGCACCAAGGACCAGTATAAGGTGATTCAGGATATTTTGAACCGTGAATCATGCAAAGCTACCCTGGAGCTGGAGATTAGCAACAGAGGTCCATTTTAAATATGCATTATATACAATTTGGGTATTTGTTTTTTTTAATTAACTCATCCTATGTTAGCTAGAACGGAGTCCGGCCTATTTAACCACTAAAACTCTTTTTTCTTTTCATAAGTTCTGTTTGATAATAATGTGCTTTAGCGATCGTGGCTCAAGAGTTGGGAGTTCGCCTTGTAATCAGAAGGTTGCTGGTTCGAGCCCCGGCTTAGACAGTCTCGGTCATTGTGTCTTTGGGCAAGACGCTTCACCCGTTGCCTACTGGTGATGGTCAGAGGGCCCGGTAGCACCAGTGTCAGTGCGCCCCAGGGTGTCTGTGGCTACATTGTGGCTTGCCATCACCAATGTGTGTGAATGGGTGGATGACTGCATGTGTAAAGCGCTTTGGCGTCCTTAGGGACTAGTAAAGCGCTATACAAATACAGGCCATTTTTATGCTTTTTTGTAAAACTGCAAATTGAAAGTGCAAGTGTGTATTAACTCTGTTTATACACATGAAGTTTAAAAAAATACAGTGTCTATAGAGACATTCATATAAAGCAAGATTTTCAGTGCAAAACACTTCACTGTTGGTCCATTTTAAGAAATGTAATCATCTTTCTATATACATATAAATTATACTCATAATGCTGCCGTTCACAGAAGCTGAAGCTGGAGAATAACAAATAAAGGCAGTATATGAAGACTCTAGAAAAACAGTAAAACAGTCAAAAATGCTCTTGCGTGTGGTCCCTGCAGTCACTTTAAAGCTAATAAACATCTGTCAGTGTTAAAATGACTGAACAGCAGCGCGCTGTCCTCTTTAACCAGTCACAGCTCCCACCAGCAGCATGAAGAGTCTTCCTCTAACAATGTCCTTTCACAGGAGTTTCAGTAGTTGATATGAAATTAAATGAAGTCCTTATTCTACAAGATGAGTCTATGTTGCAGGAGGAGGCGGCGAATCGCCTGCTGCCACCACGTAACCCTTCCCTGGAGGAAACCACGTCTGCAGGGCTTCCATCCAGCTGCCGGTGTCGCAGAAAGTCAACAAGATGTCAAACACTGCGGACACAGGAAAACTTTATTACCCAAAGCAGGTGGTAAAGACCTTTCCGTGTCCTCTGGACAAAACAAAATATTTGCTTGCCTTGATTAACAGCCAGGATCTTTGAGTGGAAATTCTTCATGTTGTCTTTTTTCACCATGTACTCGTCTATAGGCAGCCTCGCTGTGCGGACGCTCAGCTCTCCGGCTCTGGACAGGCTCAACTTCTGCAGAGGAGAAAATAAACCTACTGGATATAATACTTACAGTCCTACTCTATGCGATGTCTGTGTTATGATCAGTTTTACTGAAAAATACCTTCTGGATGCTTTCATCCACCAGACCACCGAGGACGTAAACCTTGTCAGCATCCACGGATTCCAACGCTGAAAACAAAGGAGGAAAAAAAATACCTTAATGAATGTCAGCAAGTTATATAATGTACATGAGCTCACTGGCCACTGCATTAGGTACATCTTCCTAGTACTGGGTCGAACCCTCTTTTCTTTCCTTTTAATTCTTCATGGCACAGATTCAACAAGGTGCTGGAAACATTACTCAGAGGTTTTGGTCCATACTGACGTGAGAGCATCGCACAGATGCTGCAGATTTGTCTGCTGCACATCAACAATCTGAATCTCCTGTTCCACCACATCCCAAAGATGCTCTACTGAGATGTGGGGACTGCAGGGGTCATTTAGGTTCAGCAAACTCGTGTTCAAGAAACCAGGTTGAGATGTTTTGAACTTTGTGGACGCGGCCATCAGAGGATGGCACACTGTGGTCATAAAGGGTTGGACGTGGATGGCATCAATACTCAGGCAGGCTGTGGTGATTAAATGATGCTCAGTTTGTACTAAGGGGCTCAAAGTGTGCCAAGAAAATATTCCCCACATTATTACACCATTACTGCACTGCCTTGTATGAACAGTTTGCATTTCAGCAGGTCGTCTTCACCATGTCTGAATTAATAAATGCGCTGCGTTACAGCGATGTGATTGGGTGATTCGATATTTGTGTAAAAGAGCAGTTGAACAGGTGTGCCTAATAAAGCGGCCACTGAGTGTACATCTTGTGCAATATTTTTGTTTCTCTGTAAATATTTTATTTATTTATTGTTAGTGTTTTAATGCTGTTTTCTACTAATTTCATCTTATTAAAGTTCCACATAACGAGAAACTAATTTTGAAAATAATATTAATGAAATGCTAAACAGGAGCGGGACAAGCAGCAGCAAACATGGCAGCCAAATGGCGCCACCTGCTGGACAAATGATGCATTTCAAGAGCAAAACAAAGACATAAATGAAATCTAATCTAATTTATTTTTCACACCTTCTTCAGCATCTGGAGTGAGGTAGACAACCGATTCTGGAGGAAACAGGTCCAGACAGCTTTGGTCTGTTATATCCATCTGAACAAAACAAACACAGGAGACATGAGCACCTGCTCATAAAACACTGAGGCAATTTAGGTTAAAACATTTTGAGAAACCTAAACTCAAAAGTGTCCTTTAATGAGTGAATTACAGTCCTATAAATGCTTACATGCAAATTGTTTTAAAGATTTGCTGAAGGGTTTGTTCACATAAAATCCGTTTAACTGTAAAAACAAACTTATATATATCACCGTGTAGTTGAGGAAGCCGTCATTCATTCGCACGCACTCTCTGTAGAGACGGCTGTCCTCTCTCAGCTCTGTCAGAAACAGGTGAAACGGTCGGGTCGCCTTCTTATTCGACCCGTAGAGCCGCCTCAGCTGGCCTGCCAGTCGGCTTATCTCCTGAAACACAAAACGTGCACTGCTGCAGTGAATAAACACCACCTTCTTAAATTAAAGGAGGTTTTTTTGGTAAGCTGAAAACGTTGTAAGGTTTTTCATTGTCCACCGACCTTATCAGACATGCAGTCTGTCATACTGAGGTCGACGCAGAGCTTGAGCCCCGTGGACCGAGCCTCAGCTAGACGCTCTTTAGTGATCGCCTTCATGACCCGCTTGGTAAACTGACGCTCTGTGCTAGCACCTGAATGTCAAAGAACACACAGGAAAGGGATAGATGCTGTGATGTCACCAGCTGGAGACTTTCAGTTCCTCCTTAAGCTTCTCTTTGTTTTCTCTTTACCGGACTCCAGCTCACGATTCATCTTCCTCCTCAGCTTCTCCTCCTTCCTCCTGCTCTTCTTCGCAGCCACTTGCTTCTCCCAGTGCCGCTGCTTCCTCAGGACATTCCTCTGTTCATTAAACAGACAAATAACTGTGAGCACAGCAATGATCCTCTCGAGCGTCAAGATATTAGAGGCACTGTTGGAAATCTCACCCTGTTCCTGTCATCCTCCTCTGTCACAGCAACCCTCTACATGTCCTCCTTCACTACATCCCTGAATCTTCTCTGAGGTCCTCCTCTTTTCTTCCTGCCTGGTAGCTTCATCTTCAACATCCCTTGTTCAATACATCAACCATTCCTGCTCTGCACATGTCTCTAACTTCACCTCTAAACTGCTCAACCTGAGTTGTCCCTCTGATGTCTCTTTATGTCAGTGCCACTGCCTCCAAACCATCATCGCTATCAGACCAGTAATCCACTTAAACTACAGGAAACCAGATTTACTTATAAATGTTGTCATTGTCTTTAATCCTGACATTAATCTGCAGTACATCATCAAATTAAGCGTACAAGCACGTGGTCCCACACCTGGGTGTACAAATTAAAGAGGATCATCAGGTCATCTCATATCATGTTGACCTCAAACCTTTATTTAGCAGTTTTCACACCCTGGATAAAAAGGTGTAATTTAAAAATTAAGTAATTTAGTGATATCTGCAATTCAGATGATGAAGGAAGCCTCAACTGTTTCAAAATGTTAATAATAGCATATAAAGCTCTGCGTGGCCGAGCCGCAGACCTGCTGAGACCTTGATCCTCTGACCGCTGCTTCCTATCTGCTCCCTGCTCTCATTTTAAAACCAGAGGCGATCACACTTTTCAAGCTGTAGCTCCTAAACACTGGAACAGCCGTCAGTTCAGCAGAATCTGTGGTTTGTTTTAACAAGATTGCTGAAAACTCATTTTTATAGGTTTGTTTTTCTTTAATCGTTGTCCCATTATTTGGGGATTTCTGTTCCTCTAGTGTGTGTGTGGAAGTGTGAATACAGGAACTGTAAGACCATATGTTTGATTATGTGTTTTTATTATGGGCCATGCTGACTGATCTTAATGTGTGCTTCCATCCAAACTG